TATTCATTTTGTTAACTACTACTGCCTCCATTAAAATTGCTTTTTAACTTAATGTTAATAAAATGTAAATCTTGGAACACAGTCTCCTGCTTACTTGTAAGCAAATCCAATTGCCTTTCTGTGTATAAATTGTTTCCTTGGGTGAAGGTCCTAAGGTGGCATTGCAGTAAGTTAAAAAAAAATAAAATAAATAACATCCGTAGTCCTAAGCTTCAGCTTGCCACATGTGCGTTGTTTAAATGATGTACTTTGTAGGTTTACGAGTGCAGAACATTGTGGCTCCATCGATGCAGGGTAGGTCTGCCAAACTGGAACCAAGCTGGACCGGAACCGAGCTGCTGTTCTGCAGAGCTGGTAAGTAAAGTTTTGCAGTACTGTACAGTACATATACATATGTTGTTAAAATTATGTAGGTTTAAGGGTTTAGAACATTGCCAGAGTGTGGGAAGGGTTTATGAGACCTTAAAATATATAAATAGTAAAATAATTATAGCATTGGTACTTCATGATTTTTCACTTATTGTGGCTGTGTCTGGAATGTAACCCCTATGGTAATCGAGGGACTGTCAGGATTTATCAGGCAGGAATGAACCCAATAGTTGCAGGCAGAGACTTGACTCAGAAGATACAAAAATAAATACTTCAATGATAAGAAATTAAAATAGCTGACGAGGCAGCAACTTACAAAATATACTCAGGACTGGATCAAACTGGCAGGAAAAGACAGGGTAGACCCAATGACGACGCAACAATGAACAAGACTAACAGACAGACTAGATACCCAGACAAGACAGGACGTGATTAAAAACAGCTGGCACGAGACAAGGGTGAAATTAATTGGATAAATGACGAGACACACTCCCGGCCTCCCATCGGACTGATGCGAGTCAGGTGGGCGGCCATCCATCAGGCTGAAGCAAGTCGGGCGGGCGGCCAGGAGCCCATCCATCAGGCCGGGGCCGGTCAGGCCGGCATCCGAGAGGTCGTCCAATAGGCCGTTTAGGCAGAGACAAGACAGATAGGTAAGCGGGAGCACATTCATCGGACCGGGGCCGGTCAGGCAGGCGGTCAAGTGGTCGTCCATCGGACCATTCATCGAGCAGGAACCGGACATACAGGAGGCCGGGAGACCATTCATCGGGCCAGGGCCAGCCAAGCAGGCGGCCGAAAGATTGTCCATCAGGTCATTCTTCAGGCAGGACAGACAGGAGGCCTGGAGACCAATCATCAGGCCGGGGCTGGTCAGGCAGGCAGCCGAGAGATCGTCCATCGGGCCATTTTTCAGGCAGGAGCAGAACAGACAGGGTCGCAGGCAGGTTGAGGCCGAAGATCTCAGGCGAGCCTAGGCCGAAGATCTCAGGCGAGCCGGGAAAGAAGACCTCAGACAAACCAGGATCTTCTGCGGTCGGGTCAAGATTTTCTGCGGTCGGGTCTGGATTTTCTGCGGTCAGGTCAGGATCTTCTGCTGTCGGGTCAGAAGCTAAGACCTCAGATGTACCAGG